AACCTTCCCCATTACCATCTCTCTTTGGAGCATATATAATATGGTAAACAGTGTTACAATTTTTATTGTATCTAAACTTTATATCAAAGATGTCTTCCATTAGAAAGAGAATTGTACACTATATTTTCGTATTTCTTCTGTTAAGATTCTTTATCTTAAAAAGAAGACCTTACCAGATTTATAATAGATCATAATTACTACTTTTACAATTGATTCTGACATGTAACCATATGAAACTATATCCTCCCACACTATTTATGGACCAAATACTAATCTATTTCATAGATGAAAATAAATGCTATGAGTGACGTATGTTTTTTTTATACTATGATAGTGTTACATTAATTATGTAGTAGCTTCCAAGATAGAGGTCTTTCTTCTCATCAATGTCGAGCTGAGCAAAAACAGACCATTTTAAAACCTCGAATTCAGGGCGGCTTTCAGAGGCTTTTCCATCACGACAGTGAACTCCACCTTCTCCGATAGATCAACATCGTCCCCGGCCACAGCCTTCCATTCAAATCTCCAAACCAAATTGGCAATGAAATATTCCAAATGAAGCATCGCCACACCCAATCCTGGACACATCCTTCTCCCTGCTCCGAACGGCATCATTTTTATCTCCTTGCTCCCTGTTATATCAAACGCTATTGTTTCTCCTTCGCCACCGCCGCCGCCATTCATGAACCTTTCTGGCTTGAATGCCATGGGATCTTCCCACACTTTTGGATCCCAACCCATCTGCGCCACCATGAAATTTACTGTTCCATTTTTCGGTATTGCATAATTTTCCAGTGTTGTGTCTTCTTTCACTGCGTGTGGCAGCACGAAATGCCCCGGTGGGTGTCTTCTCAATCCTTCTAAAACCACAGCTTTCAGATATGGAAGCTTCCCCAAATCTTCTTCCTTCACCTCCTCCTCTCCTTTTCCCATAACCCCTTCGATTTCTGCGAAAAGTTTGCGTTGGATTTCAGGGTATTTCACCAAATTCGCCATTATCCACTGCAACGCCGTGGAGGTGGTATCGGTGCCGGCGTTGAGGAATTCGGAGCATAAACTGACCATTTCGCCATCTGTTAGGTCTCTATTGCCCTCGTCGGTAAGCTTCAAATCGAGGAGCGTATCCACATATGACACCACGAATTTGTCTTCTTCTTTTTCAATTTGGGCTCTGTTTGCTCTGTTTTGCTTGGCCTTCCTCCTTGCTTCGATCAAAGGGATTAGGACATTCTCTTGGTTCCTTCTGAGTTGGAGAAACGCCTCCCAGCTGTTCCGGAGAAAAAGCTTGGTCAATTTTGGGAAGAAATCGAGGATCCTGAAACGCCCAAGTTGTAACAGTAGCGCTCGATTCACATTCTCAATTTCACGGATCTTGGTTTCCTCAAGCCTATTCCCAAAGCACATAAGCACAAGCAAACAAAACATGGCATATTGAAAATGGTGGACAACACAAACGGGGGTTCCCGATTCAGGGTGGGAGAGAAAGCGATTGAGGAGAATATCCAAGACCCACTTGCGAGCTCCACCGTAGGACGCGACCCGCGAAGGATGGAGGATTTGGGAGGTGAGATTGCGGCGGAGGAGGCGCCAGAGAGGGCCGTAGGAGGCGGAGCTGATGTTGTGCTGGTTGCTGGAGACGACGCTGCTCACAGGAAGGGCCGGTGGGCGGTCGGCGAAGAGAGAGGCGCTCTGGATGAGGGCGGCGTGGGCGATGTGGCGGTCGGCGATGAAGACGGAGGGGCGGGAGCCGATGCGGAGGGTGACGACGGGGCCGTATTTGGCGACGAAAGTGCGGAGGAGGGATTCGATTTGGAGAGGGGATCGGCGGAGCCATAGGAGAGTGGTGAGGATGGGGAATGAAGGAGGGCCTGGTGGGAGGTTGGTGGAGCTTCGGAAGTGGCCAAAAATGGCGGTGAGAAGATAGCAGATGCAGAGGGAGATGGCGACGTCGAAGAAGATGAAGAAGGTCGCCATTTTTTGTGTGTTTGAGATTGAAGATTGAAGATTGAATTAAACCATATCCATACGTATATATCTGAGTAAGCAATATGGAGCTCACACTTTTTCTATTTTGTCTGTTTCGCTGGAATGTTAAATATCTATTATTATAAATTATTGGTTAAATACTATGGATAATTGGCATTTCTCACTCTTTTTTAATTGAATTTTGATTTTTTAAGGCCTCTTAAAAAAAGTATATTATTGGTGATCTTTCCATTTTAATTTTGGACTCCTTCCAACTTTTTTGTGTCGTGAAATTATTAAAATATGGTCGTTTTTCAAATAAATAAATTCTCCACAACCTCGTTTACTTCAATTACAAATCTAATTCGGAAAAAAATTTCAACTTTCTTTATCAATTTTTTAATTTGAACAATCAATTAAAAAAATCTATAAAGGGATATAAATTACATAATCTCTAATGGTGGATTAAATATTTAATTAATATGAAAATCGAATTTGTCTAAAATATTTAATTAAATATTTTCAAAATGTTCGTTTTGGCTCATGAATTTTCAAAAAGTTCATTTTGGTCCTTGTACTTCTAAAATTTTTAGTCTTTTTTTTAACCCGACACTGCACTTAATATATTTCTTAAAATATAACAATTACTTTATTATAAATAGTTTATGTTACGTGTAGAATTTGTGTTAAAATTTTGCAAAAAGAAATTAATCATTTTTTAAAAATACAGAAACCCAAATAAACAAATTTGAAAGTATAAGAATCAAAATATTATTTTAAAATGAACAAAAGTTGAAGTATAGAAATCAAAGTGATATATCTACTAAAATGAACGAGACTAAAAGTATAGGAATCAAAATATTATTTTAACATAAATTATATAATATGAAAAATAATAATTCTATACCATTTATAATATACATACTAATTAATTAATTAATACTATTTTAAATTAAACTAAATATTTAGATCAAACAAAGTTGAATGTTGAAATCTACTAGACACCTATCCCAGAAGATTGAAAACATGAATTCCACTTTCTTTTTTATTGAATTTATTAAACACAACCTAAAAACACCTTTAGATTCCCATAAAATAAACTATTGTTAAAAATCTCTTTTTGAAGGTTTTTATTTATTTATTTATTTTTTCGTCTAATAGTGATGGGAGATACCGGTAGAACTAAAAAGCTATTAGAGTTATTTTAGAAGAAAAATGTCTAGGGTGGATAAGAAATTTGATAAAGAAGTTCAAATTATCACCATTATTTTAGGTTTAGTATGTAATGTTCAAAGTGGTCTTGCATTTCTAGTTAATATTGTGACTTTTCAATATATTATTAACTTTGAATGCTTTGTGGCAACATTATTGATGTTGGAGCATTGGAGCTAAAAGCAAAAAACAAAAAATAGCTGAAAGCAATAATTCGTTTACCCAAGAATTACTGCAATAAAACGAAGAATCACCTGTGTTAGATTTGTAAGAGATGCAAACAAAGTCTCACATTGGTTAAGGAAGGAGGTGATATATAAGATAAGACAATTGGTATGAGGTCTTATGTGTGAAACCAAAGACAAAACCGTGAGSACTATTCTCAAAGCGGACAATATCATATCATTGTGGATATACTCGGGGTACCGTTGTCCTCAACAAGTGGTATCAGAGTCATGGTCTAAACCTAGCTGTGTCGGTGAATCCTCGAGTGTCGAACAAAGAAGTGGTGAGTCTAAAAAAGATGTAGTCATGGTGTAATCTGTGGTTGTGCTCTATCAAGGTATGACAGAAGCCTTAGATAAGAGCAAAGCTCTCGTTCCAGGTCCAAGAGTAGACAGATGAGTGACTACTTCAGGGGAGGCTCGGTGGTATTTTGTTCGAGAGGAGGATTGTTGGGGTTGTAAGGAAATGCAGACAAAGTCCCATATTGGCTAGGGAAGGAAGATGATTATGGGTATATAAGATAGGACAATTATCTCCATTGGTATGAGGCATTCTGGGTGAAACCAAAACTTCGTGGCCTTGAGCTGAAGGCTGGTTGTTTTTATTATTTTTATTCTAAGATTTATGCATATTTACTAACATTGCAAAATACTAGTTAAACTTTTTCTACCTCTTAAGTAATTAATTATTGAACTGTTTAATAAACCAATCCTCGTGGGTTTGATCTTTTTATCACTTGCTATGCAATTTGTGTACACTTGCATAAAGAATCGTAAAATCGTTAACAAGCTATTTCAGAATTTATCTTTTTTTGTTTAATTGAGGTGAAAATCTATGTAAAAAAAGCATTATTTTAACATAATGTTTATTCTTCAATTATTGTTTTATCCTCTCTCTTGATTAAGATGTTTGAATTGTAATACTCAGGCAAAAAAAAAAAAATTAGTTACGACAGTTATTAATCAAATTTTATAGTTAGCGAGCTCAATCTTTTAACTACTAGCCTAAAGAGAATCGTGTCATCTCGAATTAAATAATTTAAAATGAATAAAATCCCTCCAACTGATTTGAACCATAAACGAACTTCCTTGAATTATTTTTCGTATATTAAACGTCACCCTTAAAAATGATATAGCTAAGTCAATTTAAACATAAATCATTTGTTTTCGACCAATGATCATCAGTTCGAATCTCCACCCCACATGTACTTAGAAAAAAAATATAACTAATATTCTCACTTAATTGTTTTCATTGCAAAATTGTACATTGAGCATGAGGTAGTAGGGGTGCGAGCCCACAAAAATGATATTGCTACGTTTGCTCAACGACAACGATGATGACAGCAAAACGACAACGAACGTTGCAGAACGTTTTGCATGAGAAGAAAAAGCTTGCAAGGGAAGAAGAAGGGAGATGAAAGGGAAGGAGAAGACAGGAAGGAAGTGATAGGAAATAAAAAGACGGAAAAAATAAAAAAAAAAACTACATAAAATTATAATAATTTAAATTTTATAAAAAAATGACACATTTTTATGTTAACCGGCCGTCGATTTAATTCACCGATTATTTTAAACTATTTTTCAAACTTTGATATTATATTTATTTTAAACTATTTTTCAAACTTTGGATATTATATTTTGAAACTCGAGGGATCAATTCACTGATTATTTTAAACCATTTTTATTTTTCAAACTTTAGATATTATGTTTTGGAGCTTAAGGGATCAAAAAAGACACATACGTTAAATCTGGTTTA